CCTGTGGGTAATATGGAGAGCCAGATGTGGAAACACAATAGGAAGAAAGAAGATAACGGCAAATGAATCATGGGAAGAGGCAAGGGAACTGGTAGAAACAGGGGTGAGAGTGGAATGGAGGCGAACCCTTKAGAGAATGGACAAAGAAATAGAGGACCAGAAGAGGACCAAAATACAGAAAGAATTCGAACACCAGTGGCTGAAGGAAGGACAATTGGCAAAGATAAGCGGAAAAACCCTCCAATTCACGAGCTGGTGGGATCCGGACAGCCCAACAAAAAACCAGAACAGCACAAACACAATGGACATAGACTGATAAGAAAGCAAAACCAAGGACAGCACCTCCAAACAGAGGACCAGAACAGATAGAAAACCAAACAATGCAGAAGGCAATAGTCCAAAAAGGAAACAGCAGCAACACCAACCCACCACGAAAAAAAAAGAGAACACACAACACAAAGGAAGAGAAAGGGAGGCTAAGGGACTCAAGGCTCAAGCATATTAACACCACCCAGCAGACACCTCACTATACCCCCCAAACCAACCGCTCACACGCTTACTAACCACAATAGGTCAAGACCCTAACAGATAACCCTGTGCCCCTACAAGCCACAGAAAATCCCAACCCCAACCAAACTCGTCCCACCCAATAGGGATACAGCCCCACCCTCACCTCCTTACCCTCCCCCTCCCGCCCCAAGCCCACCACCCCAAACACACTGACCCAGAACCCAAAACCTCAACCACTGCACAAACTACCCCAGGCACTACCCCCCCCACCCAAACTACCCCGCCAAAAAACCTTAGACATGCTCAATAGAGTCAATTCAAAAAACGGACAAAGACAGACCATAAAAACACACTACAGCCAGCAAGAGTTCAGGGTAGTAGTTAGAGAGTTCAGGTTTCGGGCTAGACAAAAACATAATCACATAAGGACTAAGATATCTGGGAATTCAAGAGGTTCATAGGCCCTTCAGATCGCTCTAGCATGACACAACAATCCGACAGCACCACAGCTGAGAGGAGCAGGACTGGGTTCAGGCAAGAGGACTTCAGACAGGCAGAGCAAATAGCATAGGCTAAACTAGGCAGGGGTGAGGGGTGGTACATCCTTCCTCAGAGAAGTAATCAATGCCCTCCACTCGGACCTCCCAACCATAATGGGGAGGAGCGTGCGTAAGTCATCCAATAGGAACCGGACTGTCGCTCCCCAGAATGGTAGGAGCCAGAACCTAAATGTTCTGTTTTTCTATTTAAAAAAAAAAAAAAAGAAAAAAAAAAGAGTAACACCTGCCAACGTTGGCCTCCCGTAGCCGCAAGAGCGAAGAACGCCGAGTAGACCAGGAAGTTGGTGACTTGACCGTATCAGACAGGACGGAGTCAGATGTCGGATTTGTATCATTCAAAAACCACACAATGAATGACATCACCTTCTGCGATATGAAACAGACATTCCTGAATTGTTTCCACCTGCCAAGCATACATCACTGTCACCGTGGGCTCGAGGCGCGCACACGTGGTGCAGAGCGCACATGCACCCTTGCACACGCACATGGTGCAGAGCACCCCTAAAATAGGAGGAAGATGGACAAAAACGTAGGGGTGGGGTGTGGTCACATGCCCCCGTGACCCCTCCCAAAATAAAGTCAGAGAAGGGAAAAAAATGGACCACGCTCAACTGCAGTCCTAAAAATCTTGTGTGTGTGTTGCAGCCGCAGACCTAAACATCTTATGTGTGTGTGTGCCCGTTTGTGTGTGTTGCTGTCTCAGTGGAATCTGCAACTGTATGAGATCCAGGCCATTGACTGAGGGTCAATCTGGGCCATCGTACCCGCGAGACCAGAGGCTGGTCAACCTCGAGTGAACTGTAAGTTCACCCAGCGCCTGCTGACCGACATTCAGTCTCGCACTTGCTGCTCGACGCTGGCTGGACTCTGGCTTTATGCTGGCATAAGCCTCATCACGCTGGCTCTGCGCTGGCTTGACATTGGATGACGACGCGAGACTGCTCTGCGTTTACTTGCACTGGCGCCATCTCTGTCTCTGGCGCCAGCTGGTTCAGAGGCTATGCTGATGCGACACTGGCCACACTGTCTTCTACAGAGACTATGCTGACGTGTCATTGGCCACACTGTCTCCAATATTGATTGGATACTTGCCAGGAGGAGGGGGGATCAGGGCTGTGAGATATCAGAATCAAGATATGGGGAAAGAAGATTGGGCTGGGAAAAGCGAGCGGCGTATGGGGATGGAAGACGATTAAAATAGTTTATCTTCCTCGTTTATTACAATTCGATATCGCACATGCGTATTTTCTAGTGCAAGGTGTTCGAGTAATGGGAATTCCAATGGGAAAAGGATCTAGTCCCCCCATTGCGAATTTAGTTTGCAATTTTGACGACGTCCATTGGATGAGATCACTGGGATGCGACGAGAAATTCATTTCTGATCTGATATTCGTTGATGACGTTTTTCTGGCTACTGTATGTAGTAAGGAGAATATCTTACCAGCTCACGATCTCATACAACGTTTTCGGAACTGCTATCACAATTTGCTAAAGCTGGAAGCCACATCACAAATTGCTGATCCAGAGAAAAAGTATCTTGAAACCATCATCTGTAAACAAGAAAAGGGCCTCTCCGGAAGTGCTTATATCGTTTGAAAAATCACCAAACACTCCAGGCGGGGCTTTTTGGGAGATTCCATACGATTAATCACTTCGGAGTTTCGGTCCTAAAAAATCAAAAGAAATAGCGGTATTAGGCACACTACATCGATTTTTAACCAACACTTCGAGACAGGCGGACACAGTTGGAGTAGTACAGTTGTAGTTAAATGTTTTTTTACCGAAACTCATCAGTTGGGGTACCCGGTTACGACACTGCGGAACGCAGTACTTGCAATTCGGAGGACTAAACTAAACAAAAAAGTGGCTTCAAGGATTCTACATTGGCTGCATGGACTGAGAGGGGACTGTAACTGAAACACTACGCGGTTAATCTGACAAGACATGGTGCTTCTTTTCAGGGACTTCCTACGAAAAGGGAATAAAGTATATGGTACAGTAACTGTTGTACTGACACTAAGGTACTTCCGATGAGTGACTCAATGGACCGGAACTGAATCTGCCAGTGGAACTGCGACGTACAACGACGCAATGGTACGACACAGACAATGGGTATACCAGTATGTCACAGATCAGGGATCGATGCCTTCAGTTATTTAACGAATGGTTTGTGGTGATCTCGAAGGGAGAATGAACGGTGGGTGACATAGAGTTTGGACTAGAAATTTTCGAGCAGAGAGTAGTAGCCTTGGGAGACCAGCTATTTAAGAAAGAAAAGACTGAGTGATCGTCGCCTGAGTGGACGAGGCAGAAGGGCGATGCTGGGCAGCAGGAATGCAATCCAGTTATCTTTTCATTTTGGCACATTATGTCCTCCTCGAGAGTCCAGCCTCTTCTGTTTTCTGTTTTTGCTATTAATAGTAGGGAGCCTTACTCAAGAGCAAACTAAGCTCCTCTCATGAAAATATAGAAGGTATTTTTCAGGTTGGACCCAAGCACGCAATACTCAGCAGCCACTTGTTTGTCCAAAAATAGAACCCGCAAGGAAGTTGAGAGAAAGTCACTGCGCGTAAGCCTGAGCATGAGGGGCAGTTGCACACCCCCAGCAAATTGCACTTTGGACGAGGTTTGCGAGCATCACCCACGTGCAAAAGCATGTGAACCTTAGCAGCCACTTTAAAATGTTCGTCTAACAAAAGAGTACATGCAAGGAGGACCACCTGACAGGTGTGTTTCCAAGAAGCGACTCTTTCATGCACAAACATGCGACCCCAGGTAGCCACTTGTTTGCCCAACAAACGAGTACATCATGCAAGAATGACAGACGAGGAAAGTGAGGGGAGGAAAGTGAGGGGAGGAAAGTGAGGGGAGGAAAGTGAGGGGAAGACAAATGGGAAGAAGGAAGAAGAAGACCAGAAGGAAAAGACAAACAAGGAAAGCGAGAGGAAGACGAAAGGGAAGAAGGAATAAGCAGAACGTAAGGAAAAGGAAGGAAACACGAGAAAAGGTGGAAAGTTTGGGCTGAGAGTCCTAGTCTGACTCTCCCAGACAAAAGGAGAGGGTCCTAGTCCGACTCTCCCAGACAAAAGGAGAAAGAACCTGAGGCACTCCTTAGAGAAACACCACCCTCTTAAACTCCCTTCACCACCCTCTTAAACTCCCTTTCAATGCCTTTCAACCCCATTTCACCCATAAAACCACCATAAAGGATACGCCCGGATTGATCATCAACCCCTATTAACCCCTTCTTAAAAAAAAAAACACAGCCTCTTCAATCATTTCAAGTTTCAACCCTTTACACCTCATCATCCCCCAAATCAAAGATAAGCCCGGATTCCGCCCATTCAGGCCAAGTGTAGATCCAGCCTAAGGTCGGACTTCTCTTCTTTCATTTCTTGCCACTAAGCAGCCACTTTAAATTTCTTGCCTGCCCTGTTTACCCAGGCAGGTGGGGTCTGGGCTCCACTTGTCTGGATGCGCAGCCGGGGCTGACTGGGTGACGTGGGTATTATATATGGGACAACGGCGGCCGCAGCACAAACAAATTTCATATAGGCGCCAGCAAAACAAACAGCAGCCGAGTCTGAAACAGCAATGAAAGCACCATGGCCATGACAGAGGCACAGATGTCGTAACTAGAGGGGCAGCCCGTGGTGCCAGACGGGAAAGGGAAAAAAAAAAAANAAAAAAAAAAAAAAAAAAAAAAAAAAAAAAAAAAAGGCTCCTACTTTGACGGCAATTGCCGTTTCAAACTCGCACCATGAGCACAGTGCCATTCAGTGTTTGTTTTTGCCTTTTCAAACTCTAAGCCTGCCGCGTTCGCCGTTGTTTCTATTTGAAAACCAGTGGACATGATCCAATCACCCGCCAAAATATGCAGGCAAACGATGCGATGTATATTAAAAAACAAAAACCGAATTTCACTCTTACAGCAAGGCAACACCTACCATCCACAAAACCCCAGCACACAGCCCTTCTGCTCCCCTGCTCATTCTGCTCAATCTGCTCCACTGCTCAGACTGTGACCCCAAATGAGCTTTACCCTCTTTCTCTCTTATTCCTTAAAGTTTTAACTATCCTCACTAACCTCTCGACCCCTACCAAGTCCCAGTCACTCTCAAATAACCAGTGAGCAGAGATTCTCCTCGTGAGAGTACCAAAGTGGTTTACTGCGGAAGTTCTCCTCATGAGACTTGCTAACAAGTGAGCAGAACTTCCACGCTGAACCACTTTGGTACTTACAATCAGTTTTCCGAAGTACTATGTTGAGCAACGTCTACTAATCTTCTAGTAAGGTATCCTGAATTGAGCAACGTCTACTTATCTTTTACTTTTTTTTTTTTTTTTTTTTTTTTAATAGAAAAAACAGAACCTTACGGTTCTGGATCCTTTTCCATTCTGGGGAGCGTCAGTCCGGTTCCTATTCCACCAGCAAGTCAGAAATGATTACAAAAGCTACTCACACACGCTCCTCCCCTTTATGGTAGGAAGGCCCGAAAGACGGCATTGATTACTTCCCATGGGAAGGATGTACCATCATTCACCCCTGCCTAAACTGGCCTATTCGACGTAATCTTGGGCTTGTAAGGCCTTCCGAGGTTGTGAACTCTGTAATGTGGTCTCTGTCTGTCGGACTATCTGAGCTTTCCCTAGTTCTTCCTCACAGCTGTAAAGCTGTCGAGTCCGTGTGTATTGCTGGAGGAGCTAGGTCTGTCTTCCATTGACTCTCTAGCTATGGTCTTTAGTCCTTATTTTTCTTTTTTGACCTCCTTGATATGCTATCCTGCTATGCTCCATTTGTTGACTGGCTGCTGAGCTACCTCTGGCCTGACCCTCCCAGTTGCTTGGCTGCCGGCCAGAATTTAAGTCCTGTAGACCATAGTCCGTAATAGCCGTAGACTTAAACCCTGTATTTTAGTTCTAATTTCGGCTCATGGGCTGAAATTCTGTATAGTTGCTGGTGCCAATCTAATAACTGTCGAATTGAAATACACTTGTATGTTGAGCAATCCTGAATCCGAAGTTCTTATTGCAGTATATACAACACGTTTTTATTGCACCATAACAAGATATAATATATTCTGATAAAGCAAGTCCCTCTCTAAGTAGTAGCATCTAAATGAGCAAAGGTGGTAGCAGGAGCTGGATCAGGTAAATCATCTGCAGGTACATAAACGGCTTAGGCTGGAAACCACTTCGGCACTCGTAGACTGGAACTCACTGAATGATATCAAGCTCATACGAAACTCACTAACAGCATGCGACACTGCAATTTCAATTCATTATTATTATTATTATTTCTCAGAAGAGTCAGAAGTCAAAAAGGTGAAGGAAGACCTTGAGATATCATCATTGAGCTGACCCAGTTATTTTCTCCTGTTCATCTTTTGCACCTGCATTGAAGTACATTCCCTCTTCGCACTGTATTTCAGCATTGCATTGGTGTGCCAACTGCGCTAGGCCCGTTGGCGAAGCATGCAATTTCGCCTTTCTAAAAACTTTCGATTTTGTCTTACTACAAGCGATAATCAACTATATATCATTAAACAGAAAACAGTGATAAGCAGCCGGACACACACAAAAAAAAAAAAAAAAAAAAAAGGTGACAAGCAAAAGTGCTCAATTTCGGCAGCTAACCTGTGGCATACTGCGTGGCCACACGGGCCCTGTAGGACCCGTCCCGGACATTCAGCCTAAAAGCCTAAGACTTAGGATCTACAGGCCCCGGTTGTTTCAGCCTGAAAACTGAAAAACGAGGGCCTGCAGGCCCTACTCCGTTTCAGCCTATTTCTGGGTCTTTCMGACCCAGAGTTTTTCCAGCCTGAAACGGAGGGCTATTCTTAGGCCCTGGGCTATTTTTAGGCCCTCAGCGGACTACTACAGAGAGAGAGAGAGTTGTGACTTGAGACTTGACGACATTGGATCCAGACTCGACATTTGGGATTCAGACATTTCGACGAGGGACTATTTGGGCCTGTGCTAAACACTTGGTGTTGACGACATTCCCCTCTTCCCCTCTTCTTCGTTTAACCCCCATCTCCTTCGTCTGTGTATGGTTGGGGCTGGCGCAGTCTTCCTGTGTGAAGCGCCAGACCCCTTCACACCATGGAATGATGATGATGATGTATGTTTGGGGCTGCATTGCAATATTGATTGTTCGGATCATTGGTATCTAAGTCTTCCGCTGTGCTATCTTATACTTTGTATTGAAAGGTCGGTTCTTGTTCTGGTCTGCACCGTTACAGTATGCAACAGTTTGGTATCGGAGCGGACCTCTCATTCAGAGGACCCACTCAATCAAGTAGCCAGCTTGCGATCTATTGATCGCTCATTAGTAACGCAAGTAGGACTTCGTCAAATCTCTGAAAATTTTTTTCTCGCAACAACTATCTGAAGATTTCTGATATTCACATTTCGTTTTACCTGGAAATTTCTGATATTAGTATTTCGTTTTCACGTAACAAATATCTGAAAATTTCTGATAAATCGCATTTCGTTTTGTCTGAAAATTCCCGATAGTAGCATTTCGTTTCTCTGATATTTCGCATACATAGCTGAAATCTCTGAAGTTAGTATTTCGTTTTCTAGGCAGATTGGGATAACGATAGAAGTGGTCATATTCTCGGAAACCGAAATTATTCTTTTCTGAAAATCGAATTTCCATTCTATCTCGCAATTATTTTTTGAAAACCGAAATCTTGCGGAGCCTACCAACACTTCGTCTTTTTCAAGAGCCGAAACTTTGCGGAACCTAGCCTAGATCTCGTTCATAGTACTCTTCTGACATGTCTCACTCATAATAGATCGACAGATGTACAAAAAAAAAAAAAAGGAATTAGTCCTCTTTTATTTTTTTATTTTTTATCTGTTGATTAGGGCCGGAGGAAAGTATTGTTGGGTTGGTTTCCTACCTGCGTGTTCCCTCCCACCCACCCTTTGCATGCATTTTCGGGTTGGTACAGTAACACGTCAGACACAGTGCCACATCAGCAACATGACGGGCCTGCCAGGCCAATTGGCCAATGAGCCCATTGCCGACTACAAAAAGCGCTTCCAGGCTCAGCTCGCTGCAATCGAGGCTGAGGAACAAAGCCAGCTGGCAGTCAAGGCTGCCCAGCTACAGGCTGAAGAAGAGGCAACAGTAGAGAAGCTGCGGCTACAGGCCGAAGCAGACGCAGATGCCCAAGCTCGCCGCAAGGAAGCCCAGGATCTGCTGCAGCGGCATGAAGCCAGCAACATCGACAGACTCAAGTTCTGGCTCTTTGAACCGAACGGCGACGAACCAACACCGGAAGAGAAGCATAAGGAGTTCATGGCCAAGCTCGTGACCAGGTTGGTTTATACTTGTAACCACCTACAGTCCGAGCTGGCGAACCTCCAGCGGGCCGTGCGGAACCATAAGACTCGGCACGAGGATGCCACACGGGTACTAGATGTCCGTGTACTGGACCTGGAACAAGCTGTCCCAGGACCAGATGCTGGGGCTTCCAGCAGTGCATCCTCTAGCCGCCAACTGGAGGAACGCGTTGACCACGTAGTGGCAATGCTAGGAGACATAAGTGCCTTCACAGAGCCGGCAACCATCAGCCAGCGGTTCGAGTTGCTGGACACTAAGATCAGTCAGCAACAGCCGACCGACCACAGCCACAACAACAGCTCGGCAAGGCCATACAAGATGCCGATGTTCCGCATCGAGAAATTTGATGACTACACACATCAAGACCCGGTCGTTTGGTGGCAAGGATTTACAACGGAGTTGGGGATCCACGAGGTCCCTGACCATCTGTTCATCAGTGCTCTATTCATCAACACCAAGGGAGGATGTCAAATCTGGCTCAACCACATGGCAACCATCCACGGCGTCCAGGTTTCAGACCTGCATAAGAAGGTCACCTGGGAGGATATGACAAAGGAATGGAAGAAGCGGTTCATAGTGGATGACGCACCCGCGCTCGCCATCAACCGCATCTTCGCGATGGCTCAAGGGAGCACACCGACACGTGACTGGCTCACGGATTGGCAGAAGATCGTGGCCACGCCCGATCTGGACTTGCCATTTCCGCATCTGCGCCGTGAGTTCTACAACAGGTCATGCGCCGCTCTCAGCCTCGCACTTGGTGATCGCGAGCAGTACAACACTTTCGCAGAGATCATCTACAAGGCGAGAGAGATCATCAAGACCAACAGGGCGGCCGCACACGAGAAGTCAACGTGGCAGCCAACCTATGTGGAGAAGGTACGAACTGGTCCGCGCCAGCAGCAGTTCGCTGTAGTCCAATCGAACAGTGGAGAAGACCAAGCAGCCACTCCAGCATCACGTGAGGGAGATCAGGTGGCTGTTGTCCAGCCGCGAAGCAACAAGCCCCGAGTGAACAGGAAGGCGAAACCAGCATCGCAGGCCGGAAACGGACAGCCAGCACCACCATGGGTCAAAATCGGCTTAACTGAGGCCAAGTACAAGTACCGCAACTGTTACGGTTGCTGTTACTGGTGCAACAGCACCAAGCACAAGACCTCCATTTGCCAAGATCAGGCCAAGGAGGATGTGCGGCCTCGTCTTAACTTGGGAAACTGAGTTGCGCAGGAGGTGAGGCGACTCCACCTCTCACTCTGCCAGATTTGACCGCCTTGCTAGCGGCCTCCTACACATCTGGGGAGGACGCGCATGTCGCAAGTCCTCGGCACACTTACAAGGATTATGTTGTCCACTTGGTCCCACCGCTGGAACCATCTACCGCATGCACGGTTTCATCACCATCGGCAACCGATTCGGCAGCTTCGCCGCTATCTATCGCTGGGGATTCATCGTCGTGGTCAAGACTTGAGGTGCTCGACCCACTGACGTTCACGGATTTCCAATGGATGCCCGTTCCCCAGACCGGACGATTGCCGAAACCGCATTGCAATGTGCTCATGGCACAACTGCGAGATTACTTGCACACTGCAGTACCAACTCCGTTGATGGACGCCGGAGTAGAGGTTGTCGACCTTCACGCTTACATTGCGAAGATCTACCGCGAGTTCAAGATGCAACGGTACGACGACATCGACGCACCGTTGCTATATGTACGCATTCAAATCGGAGAGACGACCTGCAACACCTTGATCGATTGCGGAGCATCTCGCAACTACATCAGCCAGAACTTCATGGTGCGCGCCGGCCTTGGCCCACGTGTCCGGAGGAAGTCCCAGCCTACGCAAGTCACTTTGGCAGACGGTCATACGCACAAGTCCATCCACCGGTGCATTGACGCCGTCCCCGTGTACTTTGCCCCTCACGCAAGTGACGCGGTGTCCTTTGATATCCTGGACACCAAATTTGACATGATCTTGGGCATGTCATGGCTGCGAAGCGAGGATCACCCGGTGAACTTCTTCCACCGCACCGTTCACATTCGCGATCGGAACGGAGTATTAGTTCCAGGCACAGTACCTCTTCCTCATCCTTCGATCAGCTGCCACGTGGTATCCGCCGCAAGCATGCGAGCATCCATCATCAGAGACGACATCGAGGAGATGGGGGTGTTTTCTCCACGCCCTCCCGCCCCGAGACGCTTCATCGACGGACTCATCTTCGGATCCACGCATCACCGAACTTCTCGACGCCTACAGCGACGTGTTCGAAAGCCCGCACGGAGTAGTACCGGATCGGCCCATCCGCCACGAGATCATCCTCGAGGACGGGGCCGTACCTCCACGCTGTTGCATCTACACAACTCGAAGATCTTCTAGAGAAAGGCTGGATTCGGCCTAGCTCATCGCCATACGGTGCTCCTGTCCTCTTCGTTCGGAAGAAGAACAAGGACATGCGATTGTGCATCGATTATCGCAAGCTCAACGCGCAGACGATCAGGAACGTCGGCCCTCTTCCACGCATCGATGATCTTCTCGAGCGACTAGGCAGCGCCAAGTTCTTCTCCAAGCTGGATCTCAAGTCAGGGTACCACCAACTTGAGATTCGCAAGGAGGATCGCTACAAGACCGCGTTTAAAACGCGATATGGGCATTTCGAATGGCTGGTCATGTCATTTGGCCTTACGAATGCCCCGGCCACTTTCCAAGCGGCTATGACAACGGAGTTCCGACACATGCTGGATCGATACGTACTTATCTTCCTCGACGACATCCTGGTGTACAGCCGGAATTTGGAGGAGCATGTGGAACACCTGCGCACCGTTTTGGAGCGGCTACGACAAGCCAAGTACAAAGCCAACCGCGACAAGTGCGAATTCGTGCGGCAGGAGCTAGAGTACTTGGGACACTATGTGAMGCCGMAAGGCATCCGTCCGCTTGMGGAYAAGATCGAGGSCCTACGAGTATGGCCCGAGCCCACCAACACCACGGACGTTCGTTCATTAATGGGATTGGCGGGCTACTATCAGCGATTCATCACCAGATACTCCAGGATTGCTGCACCTATGACGAGGTTACAGTCGCCAAAGGTGCCATTCGTGTTCGATGACGACGCACGCCGGTCATTCCAAGCACTTAAGACGGCTATGCTCATGGCACCCGTCCTTAGCATCTATGACCCCACCCTACCAACGCGAGTGACTACGGACGCTTCCGGCTATGGCATTGGGGCCGTCTTGGAACAGCACGACGGCGACGACTAGCACCCCGTGGAGTATTTCAG